CTAATGGCGCTAGTTTGATGGTGTGGTCCCTCGCTTCTTAGACTTCGGTGGTTGACGTTAAAAGTGTATGTAATTCTTGCACACAACAACGGGTATTTTTAATGTAAATAACCTATTGTAATATTTTTTTTAATTTAGCATTTTATATGTTACTAAAAAAGAAATAATTATTTTGTTTCGATTTCACTTAAAATATCGTCAGTTTTCCTATGAAGGCTGGTTTTTCCTTGTAAGGTCAATGAAAAATTTGATCGTGTACTTGGCCTTGCTAGGGTACTTGTGTTTTACAACGAACATTTGCAAATCATAGAAATATGAACACTTCATTTCTAGTTATATTGTAGATATAAGAATAAAAACATGTATATCTACAATAATTGAACAGATGATTCGATGTAAACAAACAAAAAATAAATTCATTCACATTTATAATATTAGTATAGATTAAAAAAGCTTGTCATAAAATCTTCTTAGTTTGGTCTTCTTAGGAAATTTTGGCCTCGCTAAGAACCGACCTATTAGAAGGCCATTATAAGTGTATTTTTTTTTAATTATTTAATTCTGAAACGTATCGGCAGCTTATTTGTTAGCGATATAATGCTGAATACTATAATTTTTAAATTGAACTTTTTAAAGAAATTTATAATATGTATTTTAAGCATTTATCACTCCGTTTAAATGAAAGAGTATGTACTTTCTATGTAGTTTTAGAAAAAGAGAATATTTTGATTATAACAACTCTAATTTTAAGTTGAGCTACTGATTTATAATATGCGGCCTTGCATGGAACCCTGTTTCTTGCAAGGCCGCTTGTAAGAGCTTTATAAAAGTAAAATAAATTAGTAGTGATGATATCTATACTATAATAAAAACGTAACCGATCGATGTCTGTACATTGAAGATATATGAAAAAAACCGTTATGAGGGACATTTATAAGCGTAATAGAACACAAAACAATGATTTTTAAATTTTTTGTCTGTTTGTCTGTTTGTCGGTTTGTCTGTTTGTCTGTGCGTTTGTGCACGATAATCTCAGAAACGGCTGAACCGATTGAAATGCAGTTTTCACTATTATATTGCGGTATTCTTCCGTTAACATTTAGTGTGAGATTTATTTCAATCGGTTCACAAATAAAAAAGTTATGTCAATTTGAAGTGACATGGTCGCCAAAATTGCTATGAAATATTAACTGTTTTATTAAATTTTCGTCTTTGATATATTGATCATCATCATTAACTCTTTGACAGTCAAACTGCAGGGTCTCAGGCCTTTGTTTAATAATTTTTGGTCACCCATCAATTGCTTAGCAATAGCGATCGTGCGCAGCGGCGCATATCCGTAGAGCCACCCAGCTACGAATTAATATTGTCTATAAAATGATAATTTGTATGATGAAAAATAAAAATAAAAAATCCAAAATTTTGACAACTCCAAAGTAAGTTGACCTCATTTATAAATGGCCAATGATATTAAATAGGGTTCAGGTTATAATGGACGTATGGTATACGATCACGCGAGTAGGAGAACAAGCAAAAAGAGCCTTCCGATGATGCAATTAAGCAACGAGTAAGGTGCGGAGGTGGTTGGCAGCCCCCGCATTGCACGGTTTCGTCGGTCTGAGAGAGGCACTCGATTTACCCGAGCCTATCCAATATTCCATCTGCAAGGGGACCAATGTCAAGCAAAATTATAGCCTATGACATCCGTGATGTAGCTTCCCGTAGGTAGAATCTCTCTGAAACTATCGGTCCAGTAGTTTTGGGGCAAATTCGATGCAAACAAACAAAAAACCAAATCTTTCCCCTTTATAATATAAGTATATTTTAGGTAAAAGAGGTCCGATGGCGTAGTAGGTTAGCGCATTCGGTTTAAATTGCAGTGAAATAAACAAGGACATACTTGAAAACTTATTTTACATAACTAAGTACAAACGACAAACTCATCGCTAGCAAGCGATTTCTTCCAGGCTGATTGTGCATTCAACTAGATAAATAATAATAATTTTAAAATATCAAAAATAAAAGAAGGACAGTTTCAAGGTAAGAATAAAATTCTCAGACACAGGCGGCAACCAGAGCGCGAGAAACGAGAAAAAAGATAGAAAAATTACATTCGTAAGGACAGGATGGGTGACCAAAACATTATTATCTTGAGCACTGTGCACAGCACTGACACAATGCACGTTAAGCTGTTAGTCCTGGCTGCATCAGCAACGTGAACACCCACCGATCCGCATTAAGCACAGTGGGTTATGGCCCATTGATCTTATTCGATTCGACTCCATTCATAGGAATAAAAGAATTCTACCAAAATACTTCCCACGCAGACGAAGTTGCGGGCACAGCTAGTCTAGAATAAAAAGAAACAATTTTCAAGTTACACAATAAAACAAAGCGTTACTTTTTAATAAGTTGCTTTCATTTAACCCGTAAATGAACTAAGAAAAATTGATTGTTTGCTAGTGTGGCCTTCCATGGTTAACTACCTTACTAGCTATCAGCCAGTGGCTTCGCTCGCATGGTGCATGGGGGACTGTTCATTTGGATATCGATTCATATCATGACACGGATATAATTACAATGACAAATTGAACAGTAAACATTCGTTACTATAGTAATGTTTTTTATACAATCTATACAAACTATACAAACTTCCCTATACAAACTTCCACTCCCATTTTCATCCGTTTATATGTTCACCGCATATTATGTTGGTAGTTTTCCGTAGGTGTTTTTTTTTAATCGGTCCAGTATTTTCGGAACCTGTTCGTTGTAAATAAACAAACAATCAAATCTTTCCTCTTTATAATATTTGTTTAATATAGATAAGAGGAGAAAATCATCTTATCACTGTAATTGTCTTCATTGTCACGGTTCCCTTCCTTGCCCGGATCATTGGCCTCATCATTGTCATCCGAATATAACTTCCATGAAATTTAATTATTCAATAACGCACCAAGAGGTCTATTATTAGGCCCTAGCTTTTATTCTCAACGGTCAATTTAATTTTTTTTTCATTCTCGTCCTATTATGTTTCTATACTCGGATATTCGAATGTATAGAAGCGTCCGACTTTTTGTTGTAGTAAGACAATAAGTATACTAAATACACCCGCATTACTGTCCGTCCGTCCTAGGGGACCTAAATCTCGCTCAGTGGATTATTGAATGATGAAAGAGACAGTAGATAAAACACTTCAATACTCGACGAAAGAGTAGTGACAAAACCGGATGAAACAAGATATAGTGATGTGCGTAACAGGTACGTTGACATCACAAAAAATGTTTTTTGAATTTGTCCTATACTCCATTTATTATAGCATTAGACAGAATGAAAATGATGGTATACTTTGTGATAAAATGTCAACAATCATGTTACTCTAAAGTTTAAAGGATAATTTGCTACACTTAAATACCAGCTGCTACACTTAACCATTGTCTTTTAAGCTTTATATTAAACAAATTTATGAGTATTTTACTGACTTAAAACATTTAATAATTATTACAATAAAAAGTGTTCATCTTAAAGAACCTAAAGAAGCAGGGTTAGATAGTTTCGGCACGATTCTTATGTCACTATAACTCTACCAAATTTAAAACATTGCCTAATCCCTTCAAACGTTTCGGCAGTACAACTTTTTAATTTTGTCAGATTATGATTTATTCATAATAGTCAAAATTCGTAATCTGGGATTGTCATTAATTGTGAATTTTACTGCCTTGCTTGTTGTTTTGCCATTTTCGGTGATTGAGTAAAATGTCAACAATCATGTTACTTAATGTTTTATTGTTGTTTTCTTATAATTTTGTTTTAGTTGTTAAGTTTTGCTAAATTGCGATTCCGGTGCAGGCCCGAGTGGCTTACAATAATTACCTTTGACATTTCAGCAAGTTTTTCCAATGTCTTAATCAATAATCTAATAATATCTGAATAAATGTTATTATAACAGTAATAATAAAATTTTCGTTTTGTTTACCTTTATAATCTGGGCATAGATATAACTAAATTATATTATAATTATATACACTTATAATTAGAATCAATCAAAACAACAGATAGATAGTTTTGTTTCCATATTGGCTCTGAGTAAAAGATGAATTTAGAAAATGCTAGTCTCATCTCAACCCCGAGAAAATGTAAAATTGCCCAACTCTTTCAGACTACCTAAAGTTCAAAATTTCAACAAAACTATTATAAACATTTTTTAATTTTATCTTGTAAATAAAATGTTCTGCACTGCTGCTTCTGAGATCCTCTTTTTTCTAATGTTATAATGAATGGAGTATAGTTCGTTACAAAATAATAAATATGTATTCAAAACCGATAGTTAAAATCGTTTCCTAATATTGTTGATAAAATTATTTTACGTTAAATTTATTCGAAGAAATATTAAAAGAGGCGAGGATTGTAAACGAATCCCAATCTTAACCACATAGATAATTATAATAATAATTTTTATTGCCAATAACAGTACAATATTCTTTGTGCCCTGTCTCCCATACTAGTTTGAAATGTATTATGGGAGCCAGTGCCTTCCTAAGTACTCTAAGTACTCTCAATATAATTTAATTAATCTTTAAAATTTTGATGAACTCGAATGAAATATTCAAGAATTGTTTTATTTATTGCGAACTATACAAGTGGATATAATAAAAATATCTTCACATGTTTTATCATGATAATAAGATATAAATCTAGTGGCTGTAGAAAATAAAAATTGTCAAATAATTTAAAAAAAATATATTTTTATTTTTTACAGAAAGGTTTTACAGTAAAAAAAGAAATAAGTTTTTTCTTAGTTCCCTGTTTCATATCCTCTGACCCCATTATTGTTGATAAACTCAACACAAGTCTTTCACCTGTGTAATGTTATCACAAAGTAACGAATAGGGTTATATTGCGTAAAGAACAAATAAATTAGTATTTGTGTATCAAAAGAAATTACTCATGGTAGAAAAATTCGTTACCTACCTGATATTTAACAGGTTACAAAAAGTCGCACATCACATCACTAGGGGCGTGCAACAGCTTCATTCATTTAATCCCTCCCTCCCATTCGTTCACACATGCGCGATCATAGTTCGCCGGCCGGCCGGCATTCACCATTCCAGTTTTAGCCGGTGTGTCGGACGCACAGTTGTACTTTATTATTAACAAACTAGACTAACTTATTTTTAAAAATGGAATTCTGCGGCAAGAAATACAAAATGGTCTCGTCCGAAAACTTTGATGAGTTCATGAAAACTTTGGGTGAGTGCTTTAATGTCATTCCTTTAATCTTATCTGATTTTATTCGAAGAATTTGCTAATGCCGGTTATACCAGCGGACGTCGGGTCGCTAAACCAATTAAAAGTTGTTTTTTGTTGATTTTCATCACCTTTGCGGACTTTTGCCCTTAAGACTGAATTTAAATTAACATATATGAACAATTGTACGTTGAGTAAGCGGCTTGATAGTTTTATTCAACACTAGAAATGTTGCGTTGGCCTTTGACACCCACCATCACGAATTGATTTTATTATTTAAAATATTATTCGCATTCAAGTTAAAATTTTATTAGCGCCTTATAACAGTTCATAATTAATTCTTTATTTTATTTAAATTTTAACCAAAATCCAAATTTGTTTCCAATTAGAAATGATTAATTAAAAATTTTAAGAATTCTTATTGAGGGTAGGCGTTTAATTTCGATTTTGAGCCGGAACAAATATCTCCAAGCATTTTTAAGCGCCATAGATAGGTTATTGTAATGTTATTTCATACGGTAAATTCTCGGTCACCATTAAATATTACCATTTACTATTATTGTTGTAACCAATTAATACCTACATTGGTACTTGAGGTTAACGTGTAAGTTAGCAGTATTGATGAGAACATTCCTCAGATGGGTGACCGTAAATAATTCCAATGACCGTGTGTGTTAATGTATTACTTGATGACGAGTTCCGTAACAAGCGGTGCGCTTGGGTTGTCATTTCTGTGTTCGGGGTTCAATTTCCGGTCAGTCGCGCTAGTGGTAACTAGGGCTGCCAGCTGGTCGGGATTCACCTGGATTGTCCAGACATTTCCTATATTGTCCAGAGTCCCGAAAAAAAAACATGTCCCGACAAAAATTGTTAGATTCTGTAAAATCGAATTACAAGTATAAAAAACAATATAAGTAACACACATATTTAAAAAAATATAATTAGTAGGTATATTAGCTGTTTATATGTTATACTATTATTATGTGATCTTCTAAATTGGCAAAAATGTTTTATTATTTTAAAATTTTATAAATTGAAAGTGAATTTTTTTTAGTTTTTTTTTTGTCCCGAATGTGATCCCAAAATCCCGACTTTTTCAAATTTTGTCCAGATATGTTAGTCTCGCTATCTGGCAACCCTAGTGGTAACGCTTGTTACCACAATATTTTAATTTCTCTAATTTGGTTACTTAGGCGCTGTTTTATTAGTCAATGTTTATTGATTTTAAAGGAATTTGTAAAATAAAAAATAAAAATGACTCGACAAATTTGTCGCTAAGGGCAAAACTCGAACCCGTGCTCTAAATATGTAACTATTCTTTAAGATTATTTTGCAACGAAAAAATGTCATCAACTCCATTAATTTTTCATTCACAATGCTATGTTATACCTATACTAATATTGTTAAAGAGATTTTATTTATTGTTTTCTTATATTAAGTGCTCGTATGGCGAACCCGTTTTAGGTGTATGTTTGAGTATTTATCTACGAAATTAGTTCTTCAATTTTCACATACAAATAAAGATAAGCGGTAAGAAGGGTAAACTAATAACTCTAATAAATAAATCTGGAGTTTTCCGCTTCCAATAAACATTTACATTTACCAACAAAGCCAAAAATTATTTGTAGATTACAGTTGCGAAAATTAATCTCGAAACGTTAAAGAAAAACTGGTAAAGCTCAATTAAAGTAATAAGCTTTGTTTGTCTTTACACACCTAAATATATATATATTTTACTATTTCCGTCAATAGCGACACGACAAATACTTGTCACTATTTGACACAATTAATCATACACAGAAAATATAAAAAGCAGTTAACAGATATTATATGAAAATAAAAAACTGTAAAAATTATTTATTTTTACAGTTATCCTTTTTCCCTTAATACAGATTCTTAGTTTGCCATCAAAATCCCAGCGGCCACGAAAATTAACACATAAAAAGGTTATCTTCTGTTATGGAAAATACCTAAAGTCTGTATCACCAAATCACGAAGAAAATACAAATTGGATCTAACCCGTCGCGTGCCCAGCGAAGGAAACGAGCGAGTTGCGGCAGTGTAAATAGACTTCAATTCCTATTTACTCCCACCTTTTACTCAAAACTAAAAAACCAAAGAGCAGTAGAAACAGTGATCAGAAAAAATCTGTTACCTCAAAATTTATTATATCACTAGCGTCACTGAGCCCAGCAGTTTCATCTGTCGATAGACAACTAAAGAGACTTCAAACGTATTTTTCTAACCGGTGTTGTGATCAAGTAAGACAAACGTTAAAAACAGCTCCGTTACGCTTCATATTAAGGTGATTACGAAACACTCTTCAAACGATCATATTCTTTGTCACGTAGACCATAATTGTGTCCCCTTTAACGAACCCGCATATCAATCACTACAAATTCTCTCAATCAAAATCCTTTAAATCTGTATAAATTTATGATTCTTCCCACACAAGTCCCACTAATAAATTGCCCACGCTTATTATCTGTCACCACTCAAGGGTAAATATACATATATTTTTTTGACTTTCCAATCTAACACCACGAGTGAACAAGACACGGGTCTAACTAGAACGTGTATAGTAAAATTATCGAAGAATATTTTATAATGTCTATTGTAGTATTCTTATACCTATATTTATAACTCAGTGGATTCTACTAATAATGACGTATAGAACTATAGATTACTTTATAATTATATATAATCGGGTCTTGTTCGTGCTTTTTTTAAACTATTAATTTACCTCGACGTTTCGGCTACGTTACAGCAGCGTTATAATGTATACAAATCGTGTGAGTTTAAAAATATAGATTACTTACTAACATTTTTTGTTTAAACTACCCCGTTTTGTATAACACAAGTACGAGTACATTATCCTTACATATATTATTTATAAAGAATTTGCAAGTGCAGAGTGACATAAGCAGTTGATTTTATCAAAAATGTTATTGCTACAATCATTATTTTTACAACTAATCAGTATCTATCGTTCTCAACAGGAATTACAAATCCTTATCGACATATTTCCTTGCAAATACACTTACGCCTTTTCCAGTACATGAGTCATTGTTCCGCGCCTCAAATTAAAGTGAAAACCTTCATCTAATCGCTAGAACATGGCAAATCATAAAATTAGTATGTAGACGAGACCTTCTTCGAACTATGACAAATGTTGCATTTTCGTCATTCGTATTTTAAAATCAGGCTGTCCTCAACACTTTTATTCAAAAGCCCAAAAAAAAATAAGAAAACAGTAGATTGTTATACAAGGAGCTAAAACGAGTCTTCTTCTTCACTTCACTTCTTCTTAAATTGTTACATTCTTCTTTTCACTTGGATTAGTATATTTTTTAAATATATGTTATTTTATATCATCTTTAGTTATTTTATATCAAGAAGATTATACATAATTTTCTTGAATCCTTTATTTAAAAAAAATATCATCAGCTGTACCGTACCTGTGATTTCTATTTTTTTGTTATTATCAAAAAGCCCTTTATTGAATGCCTGTTATCGTTCATTTTCATTGCATTTTCACTAGCTCTCCGCTTCGACGGTCACCAATTCAAATTGTAATAAGAGAAAATTAAAAAAAAATCGCAAAAAACCTTTTTCTTCAAAAAATTTAAGGTTTTAATTCATTGAATCTCTATGCCTTCATAGCGCTGCACTCGACGAGTTCGAGGTTGTTTTTTACAGGATAGCATAGCAACATAGAATGAACGAAACACTAATAAAGTATGTAAGTTATGTCATTTTAATAGCACAACATAAAATAATAACGCGTAACAGGAACACTGTTGATGTAATAACAGAAAAATTCCCATAAATCATCAAGGGTTCAGTTGATAATTTATAAAAAGAACGTTTATTTTTTTTATGAAAGTTATTTGACCTCTATTTCATTACTGATAGTACCAAGTTGATGACAGAGTATATAGAATGTATTCATTGTATCTTTTATCTGTTGAATCAAACATAGTCCGTCTTTACAATGATAAATGACGCACGTTATTCGGTTTATCAATAAAAGTTTTATTGAACTTGGTAACTGCTGATTTTTTTTTATACTTTATGCCTTAATAGGTGGTTTTATTTGTTTTCAATAACAAAATAAATTTAAACTATAAATGAAAACTAACACTAGTGGTTGTCTATGGTTTGATGCTTTCGGAACTGAAACTATTTACTTGATTGCACTAGTTTAAGTTGTGTGTATAATAAATAACGTTATAAATAAAAAAAATTATACGTTGTTAATTTTAAGATTTTTTAAATGCATTTATTTCTACAAAACAAAGAGGCAGAGGCAAAAACCAGCACATCGTTGCACAACATTTACAAATTATGTTTTTTACATCACATTGCTTTTAAAAACGTTCAAAGTTCAAATAGATGCAGTAACTGAAAATAACTAGACTCATTTGTAGTTATTTACAACTATGTTGGACTTAGAACTGAATCTCCAGTGCCAACTCTAAAGATAGAATTGTCATTAGTCATTCGAAACTTATAACATTGTCTAAAAATTTTTATTTTTATTTCATAATCTCTGATATTAAAAATTCATTGTTTGAGATAAAAAAAATATAAATTAATTATAATTAAATATTAAACAGTAACGTTTTTATTTTTTAAAATTAAAGCCATAATATCAGTCAAAATAAAACATTTATATTCAACCGCTCTTAACCCATCCATCGTAGCCTGAATAGTCATTCACGACAAAATGTTTACCTTTAAATGGTATACATAATTATTTGCAACGTTACATAAAATTACGATTGTAATATTCAACCACGTATCTCAATATGTCTCTATTTTTTGGTCTGACAAAATTCAAACGCTATAGATTTGATTAAAAAAAAATAACATTAAATAAAAGTTAATCATTACACTCGTCGTCAATACTAGCGCAAAAAATATGTAATACAGCCGAGCGTAGTACGTGCTTAGTAATTGATAAGCTATTGATTTATTTTCGATAAGATTATAATTATTGA